GCCCAAACCCCTCTACCCTCACACGAATTGGCTCTCTCTTCATGTCTGCCCTTTTTGTTATAGTATTGGATTTAAAATAGATTATGACACGTGATCCCTAAATCTAAAAGAGTTAAAAGGAAAGAAAACGCCGTAGTGGAATCTTTCTTTCTGAATGGGGCTTTTCCAGGGTTCTCTTTCAGATTATTCCATTAGCTATTCACTTGAGCTCCCGAATACTTGTATTTTTCTTGGAGCATACTGAGAATGCTCCATGTTAATTCATTAATACCCTAAATTTCTAGTAACATTTAAAATAACTTAATCTAAAAAAGTGAAGGAACTTGTACACGGTAAAAGAAGAAGGTAAGAAGAGCAGTATCAAACTCTAGATATCTTAATTGATAAGACTTAAAAACACAATAGCTTTCCTGATTGGAGTCTGGAATTTCAGTTGGTAAATTTGTAGAAAAATATGTGTGTATTTGGATGTGTAGGAGTTAATGACTTTTTAAAAAATTTGAGAACTCTGTTTTCTCTTAAAGAGAAGTGCTCCAAAAGGCTGGCAGTTCATAACCATCCGCAGCTCTGTGGGAGAAAGATTGGGCTTTCTACTCCCATAAACAGAGTCTCTGAAACTCACAGGGGCAGTTATACCCAGCCTATAAGGTTGCTTACTGTAAATCAATACCGACTTGATGACAGTGAGTTGGGCTTTTTTTTTAAATATCTTCTAGGGAGCTGATGTCTAATTGAAATTGATGATGGCATATACCTCGGAACTATTAAATAGTATAATGAGTATATGCCTGAAGAGTGGTGAAAGGAGCAGAATTTATTAGGAGTCCAGAAGCCCATGAAAGTCAGTGGGCAGAGAGGCTTGCAGAAGAAATAAGAACATTTAGGCTAGACAAGGTTTAGGTGAAGAAAGACTGAGAATGGCCAGAACTGAGCTTCTTAAAATAGTTAGGCTCTTTTCACCCAAACTTAGTCCTAGCATACTAAGTTTTGAAATTGTCCTAACGTACTGTTTTCCCTTAGCCTAAAGTATGTTATTTGGCTCTCGACTCACCAGCTAAATATTTGTGCTCTTTTATTAGAAATAGGGGCAGAGTTTCTGCTTCAGCCACCCCAGATTGGATTGACACCTGATAAACACGACCTTCTCTTTTTCCCTCTCTCGTGGTTTCCATCGAGCCAGATTTACCTATAGTCTGTCTCCAGAGTGCCTGCAAACCTCGTGGATTGCTTTTCTTGATACCATGCCAATTATTCCTGCAATGGTCACTGATGACATCTATGCTGTAAATCCAGTTTTCAGTGTGTTCTCACTTCACGTCTTACATGGCTCAGCAGTGCATTTAAACCCATAGAGTATTCACCCTTCCTTGGCACATTTTCTCCACTTGACTTCCCGAACACCACACTTCCTTGGTTCACACCACTGCCGCATGCCCCCATCCCCCGCTCCATTTCCCATCGTGGTTGGTACTTCCTTAGTTCTTTGTCCATCTCCTCATCCAGACCCACTGTATTTTAAACGCAGTCCTTTGTTTCTCTATGTGTACACAGACTCTTAGTGATTCATTTAGTCTCATAGGTCTCTGTGTCAGTAACTCACAAATTTCTGTTTCTAGCCCTGGCCTTGCTCTTGAACTCCAGATTCTTTATCTCCAGCTGACCCTTTCATGTATCCCCCGGGTCATCTGTCTTAGTTACCTACCGCTGTTGTAATGCATACCACATGTGGTTGAGCTTAAGAACAGGAATTTTATTTTTCTCACAGTTCTAGAAGCTGAAAACCAGAATCTAGCTGGATCCATTTCTTGCCTGGGTGTTCCTTGGTGAGCCTTTCATGGCATCCCTGTGCATGCTTAGGTTTATTTCTGTGTCTATGCTGCTCTTAAAGGAACCCTGGTGGCTCAGTGGTTAAGTGCCTGGCTGCTAGTCCAAAAGTCAGTAGTTCAAATGCACCAGTCACTCTGCTGAGAAAGATACGCAGGAGGCTTCTTTGAAGATTACAGCCTTGAGAACCCCATTGGGCAGTTGTACTCTAGTGTCTCTGAGGCACAATTGACCCCACACACTGTCATGCTGGGTGCTGCTCTTGATGTAACTCAGAAGTAACTAGGTTTAGGGTCCAACTTACACTAACATGACCTCAACTGACTTGGTATACTAGATGGCATTATAGAAGGTAATTGCGGAGCCCAGGTGACGCAGTGGTTAAGTGCTCAGCTACCAACTGAAAGGTCGGGACTTGAACGTGCCAGCTGCTCTGTGGGAGAAAACTATGGCAGTATGCGTCTGTAAAAAAAAATTACACCTTAGAAACTCTATGGTGCTGGTTTATTCAATCTTGAGTTACCATGAGTTGGAATCAATTCCACTGCAGTGATTAGTGGCACAATGGTTAAGGGTTTTACATATAACCAAATTATTGGCAATTAGCACCCACCTCCAAGAGAGAAAGGTCCTGGTGATCTGCTCCCATAAAGATTATAATTTAGGCAATCCTGTGTGGTTGTTCTACTTTGTCCATTAGGGTGCCGTGTGTCAGAATGGACTTGAATTGACTTAACAACAGTAGAAGTTCATGATACTACATAATGCTCACAGGTATAGAGCTTGGAACCCCAGCTTTGGGGCACACAATATATTCTATAACAACAAACATCTCAAGTTTAACAAGCCCCAAACTGAAACCTTTGTTTCTCATCACCCACTTCACACCTGCTCAGCCTGTACTTTTTCCATCATTCTAGTTGATTCTGGCTGAAGACTTTGGAGTCATTTGTGATTCTCTTTTCTTTGGTCCCTTATCCACTCAGGAAATGCTGTTTACCTTGAGCATACATCCAGGATCCAACTACTTCTTATCACACTCACAGCTACCATCCAATCTGAGCCACTGCCGTTTCATCTGTATGGTGCCATCAAGGCCTAACTTAGCTCCCTGGTTCTTGTCCTTTATCTCTATTATCAGTGATTCTGACCATATTAAACTGTTATGTCAGTGCATGTCCCCTTTCTGCTCAGAACTTCGCAGTGGATCTCCCCCTTTGTCACAGTAAAAGCCAAAGTTCCTGGAAGGCTGAAAAGGCGGTATAATACCAGGATGCCCCTATTGTCTCCTGGACCTCTTCTCTTTCTTTTGCCAGAAAGCCATTCTCACCATATTGACCTCCTTGTTATTCTTCAAATCGACATGTTATTTATTTATTGCTTGCTTGCTTGCTTACAATAGGGCTTTTGTCCCTTTACCTGGTATGCTTTTTTTTTTTTTTTAGTGATTCTGAGATAAATATTACTGCTACTATATAATATTGGGTAGGATGCTTAAAATTGGGGGTGTGTAGACAGACATACGAAGTAATTAACATATATTATTGACTGGATTTGTTTTTTCCCTCTCTCTTACTCTCTTTATTTCCTACCTTTTTCCTGGTAGGGGGGAACAAAGTTGGTAGTGTAAGGTGGTATTATTAGCTGCCATCACATTGGCTTCTAACTCTTGGCAACTGTACACAGTGGAATGAAGTACCTGTTTAGTCTTGTGCCGTTCTAATGATCAGTTGTGAGTTGTGGATCAGACCATTGTGATCCAAATGGTTGTCATTGGCCATTTTGGGGACATTGGTCTCCAGGCTTTTCTTCCTAGTGTATCTTCGTCTGGATGCCCTTCTGAAATCTGTTCAGCATCTGTTCATGCAGTCCTCTACTGACATGTGGGTGGTGGCTCTGCATGGAGTGCATTGGCTGGAAATTGAACCTCCCTCATGGAAGATGAGCTTTCTACTACTGGAGCTGCCACTGCACATAGAAAGAGGTTGATATAAACTGTAGTAACTTAATTTTTAGTCACCAAGAACATCCCTAGATTAAGGGATTTGCTAAGAAGACCATAGGACTCACTCACCTTGTAGTCATACCCAATATATAGTCACACACAAAGCAAAATTTGCAAAGGGAAAAAACAAATGCTCCTAATTCCAGAGGAGACAGGAGGAGCAAGCTTTCAAGAGTCCTTTCTCTATCGAGTCACACAAACTCACTGCTAGGGAGTCTGACTCCTAGTAACTATATTGAGTTTCAGAGACTGTTCATCTTTATGGGAACAGGCAGCTTCATCTTTATTCTGAGGAGCAGCAGCAGCTGGTAGGTTTGAACCACTGACCTCATGGCTAGCAGTGCAGCACCTTGGTCTGCTCCACAACTAGTATTTCTAGTACTAAACGGTCACAACAAAGGTGAAGTGTTGTCTTTCAAGGAAGCTCATTAGAGGCACAGCAGCCAAGTATTTTATTGGAGCCTGGTCACGTGGACCCCCTCAGCTGAGCATATGCTAAAACCCCACATTCCTACAAAAAATCCAGTATTCAAGACTAAGCACATTGTGTGCACTAACAGTCTAAGCATAGTGAGCTACCTTTACAGCTAAGTTGATGGGAAACCTCCCCAAATCCAAGTTCCCAGATGCTAGCCAAGGATGAACTTTACAAGCATTGCATTCTAAGGATAGTAGTCAGACCTGTTATACTAGCTCTCTTTTTTGCACATTAAAGTGTCTGACAAAGTTTGGGTTTTTGATTTTGCTTCTAATTTTTTATATGGGATATAAAGCATTTACTTAAAACCACATCTCTCTTTTGGAAATTTAATAAAACCAGACTGGGAATTTTGATTTTTTTTAAATCATTTGAACACTTGCTTATAAGGTTGAGTAAATGGATTTATGTATTTAGACATTTTCTGAAAAATGCTTGGCAGTATTATTCACAACCTATGCTGATTTTAGGAATCACAGAATGGTTTGCTTCATAGTAATATTTTATTTCCAAAATTTATTTTAAAAAACCAACGATAAAATTTCATCTATGAACATGACCATCGGCTTCATAGCAGATATTGATTTTTAAAAATAATTTTCTCTCCACCACCATTCTCCAAAAAAACCTATTTGAACTTTACCGTTGTTAGGTTTGCTTTTATAGGTAACTGATCTTTCTTTTTTTAAATAGGTCAAGATACGGAACTATCAGGGACACTTTCACTGGTTTTGACACAATGCTGTAAAAGAATAAAGGACACTGTTCAAAAATTGGCCTCAGACCACAAAGACATTCACAGCAGTGTTTCTCGGGTTGGAAAAGCCATTGATAAGGTATGTTCCTGAAGAAATTGTTCTTTTAAAAATTATTATTATTAAATACTTTTATTGGGGGCCCTTACAGCTCTTATCACAATCCATCCATCCATCCATTGTGTCAAGCACATTTGTGCCTATGTGGCTATCATTTTCAAAGCATTTTCTTTCTACTTGAACCCTTGATATCATTTTTTCCCTCCCCCTCCACTCTCCTTCCCTCATGAGCCCTTGATAAATTATAAATTATTATTTTCATATCTTATATTGTCCAGTCTCCCTTCACCCACTTTTCTGTTCGTCCCCCTTGGAAGGGGTTATATGTCTATCCTTGTGATTGAACCCCCTTTTTCCCCCTACCTTCTCCTTTGTTCTGTGGTTGTTGTTTTTTCTTTTTTTTGGTGTGTTGGTTTGTTTTGTTTTTAGCATCATTCTTCACCTGGTCTCAGTGCTTTGACATTAGTTTTACCCTTGTTGGTCTTCCTGTGGGCATACTACTTGCTTTTTTTCTAATGCCGCTTTCTGGGTAAATAAGTGTGCCAGCCAGTAAGCTTATCATATTTGTTGATTATATCTTCTTGTGACAACTCTTTTGAGTACACCATCTTTGACTTAGTGGATAGCTTGCAAATAATTCTTTTTTGGATTGGGTACATTTTGAAGTTCATGGAGTCCTTTAGAGCCAGAGCCGAAAGGAAGGAGCCCCAAGTTACAATATGGTACTTGGGACTATTTCAGCTACTGTGGAGAAGGGGGCTGTGGATGGGCATTTCTATTCACACATTGTAAACTTGCACATTATAAACTTCTTGACAGGAGGGAAGAACAAATGGGAGAGCTCCTTGTAGCAAAAACATCTCCTAAGCAGTCCTATGAGTTGTTTGGTTTGTGTGCACTAAGAATCCCTGGTGGCCCAATGGTTAAGAAGAGCTCAGCTGCTAAGTGAAAGGTCAGCAGTTCTTTAGTAGTTTCTTTCAAAATACTTCTTGTTCCCATGAGTTTAGGTAGTAGATGACCTGGACTTTCCTTTGGTCTAGGATTTAAATTCTGAGCTGTAGTAAGAAGCTACATCATTTAGCCGATAGTGACAAGTATCTGTTGAATTATAGTCCAGGGCCACAGAGGAAAGTCTGTCTCATTTAGCACAGTTCTGTGTGTCTGTCAGTGCCCTTTCCCCAGTGCAGACAATCTAACTTGGTACAGTCCTAAGGGAAGTTACTTAGGTATTTCTCACATGAGGAATTCTGAGCAGACTGTCGTTATCTATAACTCTCTTGACTTGTGAAGCCCTCCAACTCTTTTAGTTTGAACCTAATCAGTTTGCATAAGCTTCTGGGACAACCTGTAAATGCTGGCAGACTCTTATGAACCAGAGATGAACAAACAGGATGAGGCTGAAGGCATTGTGGCACACGACTTTTAAGTACCACAACAAACAGATGTAAGTAGTAAACTGGAATGTCATCCAGCAACTTCTGAGCAGCATTATAGGCACATGGCCCTCAGAAGAGGAATACAACCAGAGAGGCAGGTGGTTCCTTTTTGAGCAAGCTGGTTTTGTGAGGAACTTAAATCAATTTTTGATGTGCTAAATGGTGACGTTTTCCCTTTTAATGGTTCAGTGCTTCTTTTAAAATTCTTTCATCATTGCTGTTCTGAGAATGTAAGCAGAAGTCTGTGGTATTAGCTAAGGCATTTTCTGGCTTTTAAGTATTGCAAAAGGGGCTTGAAAAGTTATTAAAAATTTCTTTCAATGTGTTGACTATTTTGAGATAACCAGTGTTAGATCATTTTTTAAAGCATAAGTTCCCAGATTTGTTTGGCGTACTGCCCCCTTTTCAGAAACAGAATTACTCAGCAGCCCCCTGGCAATTAAGAACTCTTGTACTATAATCCATAATTCAGGGTGAAATGCGGCTAGCTGCTTTTGCAGCCCCCTGAGTTATTCCACTTGTCCCTTCCCCCCTCCACTTAGGAGGCGGTAACAGTTATTTTTGGGAAACAGTGATTTAAAGTAATATCAGCTCTTAGAGTTTGTGATGAATTAATTTTTAGTAATTTAGTAACAAACATTATGCTGAGTTATTTTCAGTTTCTTCATTTTTAGAAAATAAAATTTGAATTTCTGTCATGTTCACGGCATTTTATTAAATGTTTTACTTAGTCTTGACTGTGTATATGTCTCTGTGTATTTACTGCCTAATATGAAAACTCAATGACGTGTGTGTATGTGTGTGTGTGTGTGTGTGTGTGTGTGTAATCTCTTCTGGAATAAATAAGAGCTAAAATCATGGTATATGGTCTTTAGAAAATTACAGCTTGGTCATCAAAGAACGCTTTTTTGGTATGTGCAGACTAACTGGAAAAATTCAAAGGCAATAAACAGTAAGCTTGCATGGAATGAGCACCACATACTCTATACTAAAGAGTATTAGTAGTAATAGTAATAATAATTGTGCTTTTGATTCATCTGCCTTGGTGGAGCTTGTTAAAATTGGCTTGGAGGACTGGGTAAGATTTAGAATTGCAGAGCTCTAAGTGTGAATTTTCTGTTGGAGCGGTAAGGGAGACAATTGAGAATAATCTGGAGATTTTTCTCCAGATAGGGATTTAGGGACTGGCTTGATTAGAGTGCTGTCCTTGTCAGGCATGAGGGAAGATCAAATCGGGAGAAAGCAAGTGATAGAAGACCTAAAGATTGGAATTTATTTCAGCCGGAGGATAGGGAAAAGAGAATGAATGATGAAAAGACAGTTGAGAGTTTGTTTGACCTCATTAAATAGGATGAAATTAGACTAAGGAGAGTCAGGAGTAGGAAGATAATAGCTATCACTTACTGAGCATTGATTATTGTCCTAGATATTGTGTGTACAGAGTGGAACTGCTCCATAGGAGTTTCGGGCCTGGAACCTTTGGGATTGCTAGGCCTGTCTCCCAAAGCCCCTACAGGTGGGTTTGAATTACCAACCTATCAACTACTAGTGGAGTACGGAATTGTTTATGTTAACCAGGGATTCTGTTCATGTAGTTACAAGAGGAGAAGAGTTAAGTAGTTCTGGTGGTGTAGTGGTTATAAGTTGGGCTGCTTGCAGCAAGGTTAGCAGTTTGAAACCACTAGCTGAGGGAGAAAGATGGGACTTTCTATTCCCATAGAGAGTTATAGCCTTAGAAACTTAATAGGAGCAGTACTACTCTGTTCTGTCGGGTCACCATGAGTTCACATCTACTAATGGCCGTGAGGTTCTTTTTGGAGAAGAGATCAGAGATAATGTCTTATAGTTAGTCTTATAGAATAGAGAGGGTAAAGCCAATACACAAAGTTTAAAATTTGGATTATTAGCTAATGAATAAATTCTTATATAGTAGAGAAATATCAAGTGTGAAGGAAGGAAAAAAACTGAAAATGAAAAAGGCTAAATAGAAAGTCTTTTAGAAATTAAGAAAAAACTAAGTTGGGAAATCAAGGCAGTTACACTGATGATAACATGTTTTGGATGAGATTTCTAGGAGTAGTAAAAAAAAAAAAGCTTGACAAAGGAAAAGAAAAGTGATAAGAAGCCAAAATGTGTTCCCTAAGCATAACAAACTATATCAAACTAACTCTTCTTATCCCCTTCCTCTCAGCATTACTAGTGAACAGTCTAGGAGAGTTTCATAAACAATATATTAATACTGTTGCAAGGCATTTAATAACACCTTTGTGGTCAATAATTTTAAAAATATATTTGGTATGAATAATGTTAGTTGTTGTCATGTTGGCTCCGACTCATATGACTTTATGTGTTATAGAACCAAAAGTTGCCTTGTCCTCTGCCTCTGTCATGATCAGTAGTGTGTTCGGGTGCAGGAGAGTGTTCTGTTGTGATCCATAAGGTTTTCATTGGCCGATTTTAGGAAGTAGAATACTAGGGACTATCTGCCTGAGACTGCAAACTCCTCTGAAACCTGCCCTACCAAGGGTGATTCTGCTGGTATTTTGAGATACCAGAGGCACAGCATCCAGCTTCATAGCAACATGCAAGCCACCACCACAGTAGGACAGACTGCCAGATGGTAGGTGGCAGGGGGAGCTGCCACATGCTTAATTTCCTGTCTGCTTTGACCACAGTGGTCGTAGGGTGGGCCTGACTCATTTGACCTAACCAGGCTCGGCATAGGCCCCAGATCCCTTACCTACTACTGTTTGATCCAGGGCAGTTACCTGAAAATCCCTCCCCAGAATCTTTCTTATTAGAGCTTTTAGTGGAAATAGGTCTGGGAGTGGTAAGAAACCTTGGAAGAAACTGGTCTGTTGTGGGGAAACAAAACCCAGCTGCCAAGGGGGTGTGGGGTGGGGGACTCATTTGAAGCCTAGATCTCAGCTCCTTTGAAACAATAATGGCTCAGCCCGTTTCAGTCTGACCATTGACCACAAAGAAGGTAAGTTGATTTATACTTTCTTTGCCATCTGCCACAATTACATCAGTAGCTCAGAGGTGTGGGCCTACAATTTTTCTTATTTTTCCTGCCTTGAACAAAATGAAACTACATTATTTTGTTGATAATAATAATTTGTTGACCTGATGGCAGAGGTCCAATTTCTCTGTGGTCTTGTTTACCAGCTTTGTGTGCGGCCAGAACTATCATCCCCAGATACTGGTGCAAAATGGAGATGATAGGTTTACTAACTTGCTTGAAATCATGGAGACAGTGAGAATGACAGAGCTAGGTTTAAATACTGATTCTAAGACTTCCGAGAGCCTTTCTCAATAGGGGTTCCTATTAAGAATTACTTTCTAGTTCCCAAAGGCACCCACAGAATGAATGAATATCTCCCTTATGCATCTAGACTGCTGGATGTTGTATGTTATCGTTGGGAGAATGAATACAATGGAGACTTAGTAATTAGTTTTGTTCAGTTAAGGAAGCAGTGAGGGAGCAGATTGACCAATGAGTTGGCTATAAAATAGAAGTAGGAGACAGGGATGCAAATGTGACAGATGGTTAGATTATGAAGCATTGTAAGGGTCTTAAAAGGT